TCTAAGAATAGACACAAATGAACCATGGGATCTCCGGAGCCATTGAATCAATCAATATGTGGTATCTTGAACCGATCTGGCAAGGTTACTACTGAGTCGGTATACCCATCTTCGATGTTGGGGATTGAGGTAACACCCTGTGCTTTCTTGAAAAGCTTCTCTAGCTTGTTGATTTTAAGCATAGTTGTGTCAACTTCAAATTCAAATGGAGCCTCGACTTGGTACACAGGTGCCTTGGAGGCTTGTGGTGGGATTGGGTCTACTGGAATGCCCTGATTCTCAGCTTGGGCATTAGCAGTATGGACTGGGGCTGCAGGTATTGGGATGCCCATAGGAGATGCATGAGATGCAGAAGCCACTGCCGGTTGTGTTTGTTGTTGATGTAGTTGGTTTATCATTTCAGCTTGGTGGGTTGCAACTTCAACTTGGTGAGCAGCATCTTGCTGCATGGTTTCAACTATTGGTTGGAGATGTCGGATCAAGTCCTCCATACTGACTGCAGGGTACTGAGTCATCTGACCAGGCGGGTGATTTCTTGCTAGCCTAGATGTAAAAGACTGTCCCTGACTTGATGCATGTGAGATAAGGGGTGACTGCTGAAAAGACCGAACCCATGAACTCTACATGACTCTTCTTTGTCTTGTAATCGGTGGGAGTGAAACAAACACTGGTTGTCCCCTAACAAGATCTCCGACTTTGTAAAGCCTTCTAACACGGGTCCAGAATACTTGAGGGATATTCGAAGTTTCTGAAGCTATGGTGTTAAACTACCTAGCAAAAGGAATAAAGCAAAAAGAAAGCAGTAATCAGAAACCGCACAGCACCTCAGCTCAGATGTTTATCAATACAGATGTAATCAAAGCTGTAGGACTGTACTCCACACTGAATTCTGCCACCCAAAACAAAGACCAAACTTGCAACTGAAATGCACATTCATGTACAGTTTCACTGTAAAGCACATACCAGTTAAGTGAGAGCCAAAACACCCCTATGAAGGGATAGGGTTACCTTGTCCTAATTTCGTCAGGAACTAGGTTTCACTATTTCAAACAAAGCGGTTTTATACAATCTTGAATTTCAGGTGAGCATCCTGTCCTAGTTTGGAAAAGTCACTATAGCTTCACTATATGCAACTAGGTCGAATGGTCAAAAAGGGTACCTCAGGAAGACTACCTAATATACCTCTCACACCTAACACCAAGAAGTGAAAGGGGGATCAAATGGTACAGTGGTAGTCTAGATCCAAGAGTTGTGTTCCTATCGTGGCAGAGCCCGCAACCGGTCAGCCTTTTGGCAAGCCTTTTGGGCGAGCCTCCGGCAAACCGTTCAGGAATAGCAGATGGCAAACACAGTGACTTAGGCGCACCAATGCAAATGCAATGCAAAGAAAAATATAAATGTAGATAAAACTTCACATCATGAATTTCAAGTCAAGTTCTCTATTTTCCCCAGCAGAGTCGCCAGAAACTGTAACTCGGCTTTCCGCGCTCCCTTTTGGAAGAATAAAATAGCCCCTACAGTTCGAACTCCACTTGTGTTGGTTCTGAATCTGATTTCACAAGTGCAATGTGAAACAGTGAAAACACGAAAAGAGTCCAAATCCGGCAATTGCTTTTGGAAAATTGATGTTTTGAATCAAATGCCAAAAATGGACTGCTTTGCTAGATATCAGAGTCGCCACCTAAATATTTATTTTGGAAAATTTAGGAAACCCGTGACTCGTGCCAAAGGCCAACAGTCCGTCGTTACCAAAGTGTCTTGGTTCGGGAACTTAGGTATGAGAGGGGAAGGTTAATAATGAGCACCCCACTCACCCGATCAAAGATCGGCCTCTACTAATTATGATGTGATTCTTATGTGCAGTATATGTTCTTATTTTATTTTTAACATACAAGTATAGACTAATTTCATTAGAAGTTGGAACGTTTGATTTCATGTTTGTTTTGAAAAAGTGTTTTAAGTATGTACGACTTGAAAAAATGATCTCATATATATACATTAAATCAAAGTATCCCAATTTCAATGAATAGCCTTCATCCACATGCATTCAAGCAGTTTAACAATTAAGCATTTAGCCTCATGGTAGTATGTTTGATACGACAGCAATCACACTTATGCAATATACTAAAGCATAAAAACTTACATCGTACTCTAAGCCAAAAAATGAACTAGTTAGAAAAATACATCATCCTACCTATGTAATATGGCTAATGCAACACATACAATATGCAATTAATAAGCTCGGCTACTAGCATGGCATGCGAGTCAATTCAAGGCATGTAATAGCGCATGTATTCAAGTAAAGAGTTTGAATTTGACATTTGAATAATATGATGAACCAAACTTTTATGCATGCAATACAAGTGGATGCAAACATGAGTATGCTAAATTAAACATGATGTCCTTAAACTAAACATCATAAGCTGGTAAATAAAAGGAAGAAAGACGTGGGGTTGGAAGACATTCATATTATTTCATATTTGTCCTCACGAAGGAGGGTCTCAATGTCCAAGTGTCCGAATAAATAAATATAACAAATCCAAATGAATAATAATGAAAAGGGGATGTCTAATTTATTACAACAAATAATATGTAATGATCGCGTGATGCTCCTCAGGAATTACTCTGTCTGTCTTGTTGAGATTTGTTTGGTTTCACCTTATCATTGCTTTCAACCAAAAGTGTATTGTTTGCATTTTATTGGAGCCTTGCCGACCCAAAACAAGACTTAGTCGAGCCCTAAATAAATCCAAGCATACCTTGTTTTCTTTGCGGAAATCTATTTTTATTTATTTATTTATTTATTTATTTTTTTGTGCCTGAGGTGAAACAGTGAAAACATGCAGACAGGGTATTCCTAGCCATATTTGTGTCTTCTACTCTTCTCTATCATGGAAAATACTCAAGAAGGAGCGAACTCGGTTCCCAAACCATCTATGGTTGCAAGTTGATTTGCAAGGTGATTTTGGACACGATAGGACAAAGATCAATAAATGTAATGCATAACGACCACCCCTCCCTCCTATCATGAAGCAAATTCAAGAAGGGAAGCAGAGACGCTTCAAGATTCATCAAAACATTATGGACTAATGTAAGACAAGCCTTGACACAATAAACTCGTATAACGTCCGACTGAATTCAATCAATCATATTGGTTCTTTATGTTGGTTGATTCATTTTAAGTTCAATTTTATTAGCCTCTTTTATATTACCTTTCATTTTCTTTAATCCATTAAGTCCACGGTGATATTTACATCCACTAAGTCCGAAATGCAATAAAGGAAAATAAGTGTCGACTTAACCCGAGGAAATAAACCTTATTTTCTTCGGAGGAAATTACAAAGGACGAATCAAACTTATTTACAAGTGATAAGGGATTTCAAGTCAAACTCAAGATGCGCAACAAGGACTAGTCAAACTCAAAAGAGTGATAATCACTTAGATAAACCCACAGTGAGCGATAATGACTTGAAATCCAAACTTAATAATAAGTGATAATGACACTTTCCTTGGTGATTTCCATGAGTCAATTAATCCCTTAAAAGTAGACACACTGGTGATAAAAAGAACTGAAAAATAAATGATTGTACTTTAATATAAAAAAGTTTTTATACTTTTGGTAATGAACCTCCGAAGAGATTAAACCATTAAGCATGAGGGAGTTTTATGCCTTTGGTAGTGAACCTCTTAAGAGATTAAACCATTAAGCATGAGAAAAGTTTCTTTCTTATACTTGAACCACAATCTTAATTTTTCACAACTTTTTAATCAAAATAATCGAATAATGGAGGGAGGTTGCAGAGGTGATCATGCAAAGTTAATTAATTAGTTAATATAATACAAACATAATATGCAAAACAAATTTATTGAAATAAATTAAACAACCCCCTAAATAGCATAAAATAGTGCTGAAATTAAGCTAACAAAGGTGAACAACTATGAATAGATTAAAACTAGTAAACAAGTTTAAGGAATATTGGCTAACCCCTCCACTTTTGGGACTTCTAAACCATATTTTAGCCTCTGAAAATAGTCCAAAAACATTCCAAAAACAGCCCCAAAACAGTGTATAAAACAAGAAAAAGAGAGGAAAAGAGTAAGTGAGAAGTAAGGAAAAAGATGCAAAATTGTACATTTGAAAGAGAGATAAGCTCTTAATTAACAAACTTGATTCCAACACCCTTAAGTTTGTAGAAAGGATGAACTCCTTAATTAACAAACTTGTCCGACCTCTAGATACATACCCGCACCTGACACCCATACCCGACACCCGTACCCGAGTCCATGTAACATAGAGGCCAACAAAGAATCAAATGTCTACAGTTTTGGCATTGTTGCTTTGGAAATTGCCTGTGGAAGAAAGCCTATTGACCCCATGGTTAAAGACGGTTTGAGAGCTCTATGGAAGAGGAAATGTTCTCGAAGCAGTAGATGCGAAACTCGAGGCATATCACCCAGATCACAATTGCAAGCCTTCAATAAGGCAAGCAATTCAAGTTCTTAATTTGGAAGCTCCATTGCCTAGCCTACCACCAAACATTCCTATGCCAACTTACTTGAAGCATAAAACCAATTAAAAATAATTGCAGGCCTTCAAAATGATTGATATGGGCAAATAATATGTTTTCACAAATTAGAGCACAACAAAAATTAGAGATTTCCATTGAAGAACCAAACCAATTAGAAATGGCAACAAGCATAGAATTATAATTGATTTATTGCATACCCATATAAGCATTTATACAACAATAAATTGAATTCATGGAAAGAACAACACAACACAAATAGGGCAATAACTATAATTAGGGCTAAATTGAGGGCAACAACAAAAATAGTAAAAAGTCATAATTAAATTAACAGTGCTAATAAATTATGGCAAAAATTAGGGCAAAGTGAAAAAATTAATGCAACAACTATAGTCTTCCATTAAAATTTGATCAAACAAATAAAAAGAGAGAAGAAGAAGAAGAAGAAGAAGAAGAAGAAGAAGAAGAACTCACGTTGTCGAAGTCGGACCAATGTTTGTTTTATTGTTAGAGTCGGTTTTTCACTTCGAGGATGAGAGAGAAGAGAAGACATCGACAATATGAATTGATACATGTATAGGTCTGAAATCTCTTTTTGGACCCCTCATAATGGGCCTTTGGGCCTTTTGTGTTTAGCACTATAATAGACTAACGAATTTGGAGGCCCAAAGACAAGCCTTTGTTGTTTGTGCTCAAGGCCCGCATAACTACCGATGTAATGAATAAGTTATACCATTGATCTATATAATATTTTTTGAATTTTACTTTGGTTTTTTTAGGATGAATTACACTAACAGTCCCTATAATTTGAGTCTTGTATCATTTTTTATCTTTAATTTTTCAATTATGACACATTTGACTATAAATTTTGAATCTTATTCTAAATAAGGACAATTAAAAATACCATCGCTCAATTTCAAGAGAAAAATTGTCAATTTAATAAAATATAAACTAATTTGATAAAAATAAATGCCAAAAAAATATTTTTAAATTTTTAAAAATAATTTCTACCCACTAAAGATAAAATTATGTAAAATTAATAAATCTTTTAATCATTTATTTATTTACTAAATTAATTTTTATTATGTGTTTGGATGATGATCATGTAATGGGTGGTTATTTTTATTTTCATTAAATTAGTTTCTATTTTTCAAAAGTCAAATATGACGAAAACTTTAATATCATTATTAAACCAATCTATTAAATCAAAAAAATCAAAACTAAAAACATTTCATATATTAAATATATCTATTACACATTAAAAGCATAACAACCGCCCATTACATAATCATCATCCAAACACATAATAAAAATTAATTTAGTAAAATAAATAAATAAATGTCTAAAAGATTTATCAATTTTACATAATTTTATCTTTGGTGGGTAGAAATTATTTTTAAAAATTCAAAAATATTTTTATGATATTTATTTTTGTCAAATTAGTTTATATTTTATCAAATTGACGACTTTTCCCTTAAAATTGAGCAATGGTATCTTCAATTGACCTTATTTGGAACAAGATTCAAAATTCATAATCAAATGTGTCACAATTAAAAAGTCAAGGATCAAAGTGACACGAGTCTTAAACTATAAGAACTGTTATAATTCACCATCCTTTTTAATATTGTGTCCTTTGAATTTCATTTTATTTCCTTTAACTTTGTGTTTTATCTTCGTTCCCTTTATATATTTTGTTATTGCGTCGCATTATAAATAGACTAGTGTATGCCTATACCTAAAGGTACGGTGTAATTAATGATGAGATTAAATATAATTGAAAATGAAATTATTAAATTAAAATGTAATTTATCAAATTCGTTACTAAAAATTTGAGGTCAAAATATAAATATAGATCCGGTTTCAACTTTCAAAATGAAGTTTGTAAAATTACCTAGATAAAAATGCACCCAATAAAATTAAAGTAAAAACTGGAAAAAAAAAGTAATTTATTGTAAGAATATGTCTCGTGGTCTTTGTCACTAAGGTGGGTAAAAAAGTTTTGTTGAAAAAAAAAAAAAAATTCTTTTTCTAGTCTTGAAACAAATCACGTCATCCTCATGATCTCTTTTATCTCTCTCACTTGCCTTATGAAAAGATTACATTTTAACTCAATTTTTGAATTCAAATTTGTCGAACCGAAATAAAAAAACATTTTCCAAAATTACTGGTTAGCCTTTGGAATCATGATTCTGTTGGCTACATATTTTGTTGAAGCCAATTACAATTCGACACGTGGTAGAATGAGGGTAATACAGGAAGAATATTCAAGTCTTCGATCATGATCGTACACGTGGCAGTTAGTATTGGTTATTTCGAGATCTGAGTAGCATTGGATTAGCAAACAGATACAAGGTGATGTGGCTTCAACGGTTATTCACATTCAAATTCAAAATTAGGAGGGAAGCCTAACTGCAAGTGATGGCATGGTAGAGCTAATTATAAGGCAACATGATCAGCGATCATGGAGGAGCAGTTCGACGGTTAAAAATGCAGTTCGATGGTCATCCTTGAGAAGTATAAATAGTAGAGAAGGCCTCAGAAAAAATCCCCAGACTCAAATCCAAAAAACCAGTCTTATTCTACTTTATTTTCTTTACAGTTTTACATTTCTAGTTCTTTACATTTCTGCACTTTAAAATTCCTGCACTGCACTTTGTTCATAGGAGTAGTTTCAAGTAGATTGTCGCTGTAAACCTCTACGAGGCTGAGTTTCGATCATTGTAAGTTTTTCATTTTAATGAAATGTTTCAGTTGTTCTTCATTTAATTGTTATTTTGCTTAATTCTCCTAAATCAAGCCACCAGTAAAAGTCCTCTTCATTGAGGCTGAAAGAACTAAAACACAATCGTCTGATAATTGGTTGGCAATTAATTTTTTGTAAGGACTAATTGATCCTTGCTGGCACGCTCGTAATTACAAAAATAACCTTCGAAAGCCAAAAAGCCAACAGATTCTAACACAAAATTTTCAAATTCATAATCAAACACATAACTCAAAATTATTCAAAAATGAATTTCAAAACTCATAACTAAATGCACAACTCAAAACTCAATTCAAAACTCTTTTCGAAACTCAAAACCAAACTTTTTTCAAAACTCCATTTTTAAACAAAAATATAATTTTTTTATTTTGTTTTCTGAAATTATTTTTAGAATCATGATTTGAGTATGGAGTCGTGTTTTGAGTTATGACTTTTGAATTGAGTTTTGAAAAAAAAAAAAAAATTGATTGGTTATGAGTTTTGAAAAAAGTTTTGAGTTGTCTTGTAAAATTTTTTTGATTTATTTTTTTAAATATTTAAAAAATTTCTTAATTTTATTTTTTTAGGATAAATATTTTATATTTTTAATATTTATTTATTTATTTATTTTAATATGCATTATATTTCATACATTTTTATGCTGCATTTATTTAAATATTAAATAATTGAAAAAAAATTATTTTTTATTTTAAATATATAATTTTTATTTTATAAAAATATTTTTAAATTTTTTGTTGTGTATTTGGTTACAACTTGAGTGTAAAGTTTTGAAAGTAGCATAGAGTTTCGAGTTATGTGTTTAGTTATGAGTTTTGAAAGTAATTTTTGAATTGAGTATTGATTTATGACCACGTTTATTTAGCAGATTAGGTTGGATGAGATTGTTTGTGAGGTGATGGTTAGTGAAAAGAATATTAATGTGTGAATTGCTAGTGAGGAGATTACGCGAAAGTGTCTTTGTTTTGATGATATAGTGTTGAAGATGGTTAATGATAGGATTGTTAAATTATTTTTATTAAAAAAATAACTAATATATTAAAAAATATATCTAAAACAAATATAATAAATTTTTCTTTTTTCAAATAACAGGTTGCAATTATAAAAAAAAATAAATTACACTGCTCCGGTCAACTAGCAGAACGTCCGGGAGAATGTCTAGGCGGATGACTGGGTAGACCCAATTCGCTCTTAAAATTAAAAATTAAAATATTTACAAAATAAAATAAAATATTTAAAATAAAAAAATTTAAAAATATCTAAATAAAAATTATATATTTAAAATAAAAAAATAAAATTTTCTTTGACATTTTTTAATATTTTAAAAAATATATCCAAAAAATTTAAAATACGACTCAAAATTCAAAAACTCAAAACTCTTTTAAAAACTTAAAATTCTTTTCAAAATTCAAAATTCAAAAATTCCTATCAAAATTCATAACCAAACAAATTTTTATTTTTTTTTCAAAACTCAACTTATGATTACTTACTTAAATCGCAACTCCACACTCACATCACAATTTCAAAACTAAACCAAACACAATCGATACAACATTTTCCACATAACCACTTTCTTTCTGAAAATGATAGTTACGTTTTTTTAATAAACATAAACATTTCTAATTTACATTTCTGAACTTTTTTCATTATTTTTATTTATTTAAATTTTGAGTTCAACTTTGACAATCAAATTTTTTTTTTCCACAAACATTTTTTGACATAAAATTATTATGATTTATGCTGAGATAAAATTATGATTTATGTTACAAAATTTTAGGATGTTATTATCAATTTAGAAAGTAAGTTAAAAGTTAAATTTTGAGTTTTTTTTTTTTAAAAAAAAAACGTGTAAAAAAAAATAAAAATGTGATGTGACCTAAAAAAAAAGTTAAAAGTCAAAAAGTATTTTAAGAATAATATTAGGAATTATGAAAAAAAATATCATGAAATGCTTCATGAAATTTTTTTATCCTTTTATTAGTGTGTGGTGTTTTATTGTATTTGTAATCCAAGAGCGTAGAGTCTTTTATGATCATCATAATAATATTTTTTTCATAATTATTACCATTACTCATATTTTAAACTTCTTTGTCAAAAGAGAGCTTTTTGTACCAATTGATAAATTGAATAATACAAAATAAAACATTTTGGGGGAAACAAACCCACTTGGAGTCGGCCGCTACACATTGCTTGAAGCCAAGCTTTTGGGCTTTACAATGAACTCTCTGCTTTCGACAGATAGGAGTGTAAAAATGGCCAGTCGCTCGTGGGCGTTCTGAAGCCCGCTCGCAGACAGGGGTGGGCCCGGCCTGTTTAGGCTTGTTTGGGCTCGGGCCCAAGCCCAGTCTAAGACTCTGGGCCTAAGCCATCATTTTGAAGCCCGGCCCAACCCGTGGCCCAGCTTATTGGCCTGCCTAAAGCCCACTCAAGGCGCGGCCCACCCGTGGCCCAGTGTCTTTTTTAGTAAAAAATAATAAAACTTTGGTGGAAAAAATTTTAAAAAACAAAAAAAAAACGGCCAAGCTCGCCCAAACCTGAGGCCTAGCCTATGCCCACCGAGTCGGCCCAAGGCCCGAATACCCCTAGGCCAGGGCCTAGTTCTAATTTTTTGGGCCGTGAGCCAGCCTGGCCCGAAATTTTGGTAGGAACCTGCAAGACTCGACATGAGTCGGGCCTAGCCGGGCTAGATTTACACCCCTATCGACAGAGAGTTGAAGCTTCAACTTTCCAGAAGTTGGTGGAACAAAAGTTGGTGTATATATAGTGAGACAAAAGTTGGTGGACAATTTGTCCCAAAAAAAAATGTA